GCCTGCTGTGTTCATCCAGCCCTGCACCTTGTTGTCTCTGTTATTGAATAAAAGTTGTTTACCAGTAAAATGTAATCCAGAACCTCTGACTAATTCTTTGAAGACATGTGTTTGAACCCCATCACAGCCAATGGCAAAATTTGAATTTAATAAAAAATCCCAAGTTCGAAATTAGCTTGATGAAGCCATTGTCAATTGTTGTAAAACACAATCTGGTTCATGCATGCAGTTTCTGGGATGGAAATCTGCCATCCTACTTGGTCTGGCTTTCATGTGCCTTCAGACCCACAGCAATGAGGTTAACTTTTAACTGCCCTCTTAACTGGCCTAGCAAGACTCCATTGTATAAAAAAAAAACAAAGTCTAAAGAAAGGATTGAAACCAGATAGGTCAACTGTCATTGACATAGGCACTGGAAACAACAACAGCAAACTGTCTGTAACAGGGAACTAGGGATTCCAATGAGCCATCACCTTCTTTACTGAGACTCTTGGTTCTGGACTTACCTGGTCTCCTCAATGTGGTGGGACTACCTGCAGTCAGACTAACCTCTCTGTCCTTTGCTGCCGGGACTACAACAATGCTGGTCTACCACGATCTATCTCTGAGGCAGGTCTTCTACAGAAAGGTGGAAGTCTCACCTTGAAGCAATTAAAGCTGCTCCCATTTTACTGCGGGGCAGGCCATCCCAACTTACTAGATGGGGACGGGAACCATAAAATTTCAGTCCATGAATCTGCTGGAGGTGCCATCGTGTTAATGTTACTGGATTAGTAATCCAGAACCAGAGGACAATGCGTATTATGTGGAGGGAGCATGCGTTTTAATCCCACCATGGCAGAAGGTGACATTTGAATTCAATAAAATTATTGAATTATAAGTTAGTCTAATGACAAATATGTAACCATTGTTAATTGTTGTAAAAACCCGTCTGGTTCGCTAATTATCCTTTAGGGAAGGAAATCTGCCACCTTTAACTGCTCTGGCCTACATGTGACTCCACCTTCATAGCAATGTCATTGACTCTTAACTGCTCTGAGCAGTTAGGGATGAGCAATAAATGCTGGCCTAAATACTGCTGTCTATGGTGGCTCAATGGTTAGCATTGCTGCCTCATAGCAGCAGGTTTGATCCCACCCTTGGGTGACTGTCTGTGCGGGGTTTGTTCGTTCTCCCTGTGTCTGTGTGGGTTTTCTCTGGGTGCTCTGGTTTCCTCCCAATTTTGGCCATGCTAATTTGCCCTGTAGTGTCCAGGGATATGCAGGTTAGGTAGATGAGCCATGATAAGTGCAGGGTTACAGGAATGGAGTAGGGTCTGGGTCTGGGTGGGATCCTCTTCGGAGGGTTCGTGTGTGGATTTGATGGGTTAAATGGTGTCCTTCTGCACTGAAGGGATTTTATGATCCTAGACTAACACCCATATTTTCTGAAAGAAATAAAGTTCCAGATGCGATCATTGAATAGAAGTCTGGAGTGAAATCTCTGAGGCACAAAGACAAAATTTAAGATTCTAAAAGCCTGTGTTGAAAACAGTAAATATTGGAAACACTAGGCTTGTCAGGCAGTAGTTGTGGAGAGAGGATAAGAATTAATGTTTCAGGCAGATGATCTTTCATTAGAATTGATCAGTAAGATTGCTACCTGATTCCCCACCTCCCCCACCACCACTTAGCCCAGTGGTGCAAAGGTCAGATGTACATCCTACAAGAGCCTCAGCGAGCTCACCTGACAAATAGGGGCTCAGACCTTAGATTTTCTGTTAGAATCATAAAATTCCTACAGTGCAGATAGAAGCCCAATGAGTCTGCACCAACCCTCTGAAGAGCATCCTGCCCTATCCCTGTAACCCCACATTTACCACAGTTGATCCTCCTAGCCTGCACATCCCTGAACACTACAGGCAGTTGAGCATGGCCAATCCACCTAATCTGCACATCTTTGGCCGGTGGGAGGAAACTGGAGCACCCAGAGGAAACACATGCAAACTGGGGGACTTCGTGCAAACTCCATGCAAACAGTCGCAAAAGGCTAAAATCAAACCTTGGTCCCTGGTGCTGTGAGGCACCAATGCCCTCTTGGGAAACTTGGCTTGTAATTTGATCATTTCTGTTTGTTCTGACTATTAAATCCATAACCAAAGTGCCTCTTACACTCACATACCTCAAATACACTTGTGGAAATATAACACTGGCAAAATTCTTTCCCCATTAAGTAAATCAAGACATTATTAAATGGCTTAAAAGATGTTGCAATCATTTTATTTTTCCCATATTTTTGACTGTATTGATCTGACTAAACAAAGCTCTCTTGTGTGCTGGGCCTCTTTAAGATATGAACAAAAGTCAGCCTATTCTTTATAATTACATTTAGGAAAAGTGTTGCAGTTTTTTTAAATGCAATAGAAGACCTATTTAGTTCTGTTAGAAGAGATTTTCTCGGTCTTCTGCCTTCTTCCCGAGTTCCTCCCAACTGTAAGCACATTACCAGGCATGCAATACTCCATAACTTCCAGCAGAGTCCACCGTGTATATTGAGTTTAGATATTTTATGTTGCTGCATTGTTGTGTTAGTGCTACCACTTCAAAAATCATGGCTCTCATGTAGTTGGTGGTAATCCAAAAATAAACAATTTTTTTTAGCTGGCCCATCCCAACAGCTAAACTCAGCGCATTCAGTTTGAAAACAATCTCATGTGACATGCATCCTGCGCTCATAAAGGCAGGCAAATTCTGTACAGTTTTGCTTTGGTAATCCTCCTAAGGCCTGAGGCGTTTTCTTCTGGTCTTAGAAACAAGGACATTGGAAATTGCATTCATTCGCTCCATCACTCCCATTC